GAAGGGTGGCCTGTTCCATGAGGCAACCTACAAGTACCCTGAGAGAACCTGCTTCAATACAGAAATAAACCCCCCTCTGACCACCAGCCCCTAAGTTGTCACCTACATCCCACAGTGGAACTGATGCAAAGGATCATCAAACTACAACCCATCCTCCATGGGGACCACATCCTGAAAGAAATCTTTCCTGAACCTCCATTTCTGATCTTCAAACACCCCGCCCCCAACCTCTCCAAGCTTATCATCAGAAGCAAACTCCCCACAAACCAGGACACACCAACTCAAAGCAACACCAGACCCTGCCAGAACAATAGCTGCAAAACTGTAGACATACTTCCACCGCTGTGATGATCAACAGCCCCCACAACACACCTTTTAAGATCCATGGGTGCTACACATGCCTAGCAAAGCATGTGGTGTACAGTAGAACCTCAGCACTGTGAAGACCTCAAAAATGGAGGTTGTTCATAACTCTGAACTAAACGTTATGGTTCTTTCAAAAGTTTACAACTGAACATTGACTTAATACAGCTTTTTAAATTTCAAGATGCAGAAGAAAAATGCTGCTTTTAACCGTCTTAATTTAAATGAAACAAGCACAGTTTCCTGACCTTGTCAAACCTTTTTTTTAGAAACAAAAAAATCTTTCCCCTTATTTTTTTAGTAGCTCACATTTAACACAGTAGTGTACCGTGTTTGGTTTGGGGTGGGGGGTGGTCTCTGCTGCTGCCTGCTTGCATACCTCCAGTTCCAAATGAGGTGTATGGTCAGTTCATACCTCTGGTGTTCGTAACTCTGAGGCTCTACTGTATCTTCTCCAGCACACTAAATGCCCCAATAACTTTCAGCTATGTGGCTGAAAGGAGACAATCACTACATTCTTGAATGAACTCAGAGGAAAAAAATAAGACAAATGCTGTCACCTGTGGGTGAACACTTTTTACAAAATGACATAGACATTAAGACTGGCAGGGACCATCATTATCTACATCGCAGGCCACAGAGCCTCACCCACCCACTCCTATAACAGACCCCTAACCTCTGGCTGAGTTACTGAAGTCCTCAAATCATGATTTAAAGACATCATATTACAGAGAATCCACGATTTTTACACTAAACCTGCAAGTGACCCATGCTGCAGAGGAAGTTGAACCAACCCCCATCCCCCCAACAGAGTCTCCGCCAATCTGACCTGGGGGGAAATTCCTTCCCAACCCCAAATATGGCGATCAGTTAGACCCTAAGCATGGGGCAAGACACACCAGCCAGACCCTGGGAAAGAATTCTCTGCAGTAACTCAGCCATCCCCCTCTAGTGTTTGAGCTGCTGGTCCTCATCCTCAAAGGAAATCTGCACAACACCTTCAAAAGACAAGTAGGGGAGCTTACATTACCCACAAAAGCTTATGCCCAAATAAATCTGTTAGTCTTTAAGGTGCCACTGGACTCCTTGTTATTCATAACTCAGCTAGACACTTAAAGTCATGGACTGAATACATACTAGATCTATGGTTTATTACCAATCTATAACCAATTTACCCCTCCCCCAGCTTTTTCCCCCTTTCTCCCCTATGACTGGAGAGGTGTTAACGGGCCACTTCACATTGAATGGTCCCTTGAAATATGTGTTAACTACGTATGCTAAACAATCTGTTCCACCTTGAATTTAGCTGAGACACCCGGGCCTAGCCAGGTCAGCTGACTTGGGCTCAGGCAGCGGGGCTAAAAATTGCTGTGTAGACATTCGGACTCAGGCTGGAGCCCGAGATCTGAGACCTTCAACCCTGGCAGGGTTCCACACAGCTCAGGCATAAGCCCAAATGTTTACACAACAATTTTTCAGCCCTGGAGCCCAAGTCCCATGAGCCCGAGTCAGCTGACCGGGCAGCCCTGGGTTTTTTAATCCCTGTGTAGACATGCCTTCTGAGTACCTTTTCCAGACCTGAAAGAGCTCTGTGTAGTTTGAAAGCTTGTCTCTCTGACCAACAGAAGTTGGTTCAATAAAAGATTATTACCTCTCCCAGCTTGTCTCTCTAATAAAAAATAATAGTCCTTTTCATTTAGGGTTACATTGTAGGGAAGATGCACAATATGAGAGAGAAAAAAGCCTTCACAGATGATAGATTGCTCTGTTTTGTGCTAGTTGGAAGATATACAATTTACCTTTTCACTTCTATATATTTGATCTTAAAGGCCCAATCTAGCTCTTAGATATATAGCAGTTGTGAGGGTTTCTGGCTAATTTACATCAGGGAGCTGCTTAAATTGCTTTTCTAAGAAAAATAGTTAATCTCAACATATTAGGCATACTATATGTAGTCAAAATGTATATATGTATTTGGCTGGGATTAACAGCCAGATAATCATGGGGAGACAACTACAGCTGCATTTGTTTAGCCAACAATGAACTGCAGCTGGAAGCATCACTTGTTAACCACCTAAGTTAAACAAACAGGTAGCTAGGCAGCTAATTACTAACAAGCCCAAACAGTCATGACTTGCTAATTTGTGCCCACAATGAATCTGTAGGGACAACAATGTGAGAGCCTGCAAAAAGAAAAACTCTGTCAAACAGGTTGTCATGTTTCCATTCATTTAAAGAAAAATATTGTATACTGTGGATTAAATGTGATGCTCTTAGCTGGCTGAACAGTGCCTAAGAACTATCAGGGTTTTCATCTCATCTCATTTCCTTGCTACTGGGGCTGGATCATTAGAAGGGGCGTTTCTCTTCATGGTTTAATGTAGAAGCCTAGATGAAATCTGGCATTCTGTATAGTCCACTACTCTTTACCCACAGAACATTATGCAAATTCCATACCTTTTTTATCTGATTTTACTGTAGTGGACAGATCAGGTGTAGATACAGATGTGGACTTGGAGGGTTTGGATGTGGTTTTGGTATCTGTAGATAAGGTTGTCACTGTTGGTCTGGAAACAGGCAAAATACTAGTAGGTTTAGTGGTAGATGTAGTTACAATAGGTTGTGATGTAGCCTCACCAGGTTTGGAGGTAGGAACAGTCTCATTAGGTTTGGGTGAAGCTGTGGTCCCAGCAGATATCAATGGATGGGTAGTCCCGGGCACGGTAACTGAGGTACTGGGTGTCGATGTTGTGGAAGAGGAGGTGGGTGAAGCTGTGGTCCCAGCAGATATCAATGGATGGGTAGTCCCGGGCACGGTAACTGAGGTACTGGGCATTGATGTTGTGGAAGAGGAGGTGGGTGAAGCTGTGGTCCCAGCAGATATCAATGGATGGGTAGTCCCGGGCACAGTAACTGAGGTACTGGGTGTTGATGTTGTGGAAGAGGAAGTGGGTGAAGTTGTGGTCCCAGCAGATATCAATGGATGCGTAGTCCCGGGCACGGTAACTGAGGTACTGGGCGTTGATGTTGTGGAAGAGGATAGGAGTGTATGTGTGGTCCCATCTGGGTTAACCATTGATGTGGTCTCGGGTGCTTGAGGTGTTGCAGCAGTAGTAGAGGATTCGGCTCTTGTCATGTCTGTTGGCTCAGGGACAGATATGGTTGTATAATGTATAGTAGTATATCCAGGAACAGCTGTGGTCATATCTTCAGTTGTTGCATCTCCAGTGAAAGCTATGAAAGCAAAACATTTTGAAATACATCTTAATCCAAATATAATAACCTTCAAATGCAGACACACTTTGGCTGCAACCAGGATTCCCCCATTTTAAGCTTGATCTTGTGAGGTGTTGGGCATCTTCCACCCCAGCTGAAATCAACTCTTGGAGCTGACCAGCACTTTGCAGGATCAGCCCCTTTGTACTAACAAATCTTGTTAGGGAAAAATAACTTGGAGAAAACCAACTCATGTCATTACAGGCAAATAATTAACATTTAGGAATTACTTTTTAAGGCCAACATGAGTTGAAGATTTCAGGATAACTTTTCACACACACCAATATGTTGTAACCAAACACAGACTGCATAACATACATGTAATGGCACTATGGAATATCCGACGAATTTACTTTACGTTTTCTATCATAAATTGTATCCTCCTTGCTCTTCTGGCGCCCGGTCAGTACTGTGCTGATCCAGTTCTATGCCTGCGTCACCCATTGATTTAAATAGAATGAGACTGGCATAAAATTAGAATAATCCAGTGCTGAATCAGGCTTCTGACCGCAGAAAACAGCGGGCCCAATGGAGCGACACTGATTTACCCTAGCTGAAGATTTGGCACTGTGTGTGTTATATAAGGTCTCTCTTTCTGCTGAGCTTGTGTAACATCTATTGATATTAGCCCAATTTACCACTGTGTTGTACTAATTTCACACCAGTGAAAACACCAGGGACATCTTTCACTTTTCATTACACGCTATCTAAAATCATATGCATTTTTACTTGAAACGATAATAAATTGACATTTTAAAAAATCTGTGTTACTATGGATGTAACATGAATCAGGTACTTATCAGTGATGATCTGATCACTTTAACATTTACAGCCTTTGCTTCAAGAAAGGCACATACTTGGAGTGCTACCATTAGTAGATGTGGGTGGAGATGATGTAGTAGCAGCTGTTGATGATGCTTCCTCTGAGCCTGTTGAGAAGATAAATAAAAGATGTAAAAAATCTGTAGAGGCAAAATGAATATACAAGAGAAAAGCTACTGTAAAAGAGACTAAACTTCAGCAATGACCAATACAACAGAGGACTATTCTTACTACAGGGACTGCAGCAGCACCCCCACACTGAGGAACGTACTTGTGCAGGTGGTGCTGATTACTCCAGGGATAATTGGACTACATAAGGGAGAGAAATGGGGAACTGCAAAGTTTGGACCAAATTGGAAATCAGACTTTCTGTGGCAAAAGGATGATAAGTTGGCTTCAGGACTGGCTGCAATAAGCCCATTTCTTTTTCATGGGTTTGCATACCTGTGTGCATCCATCACCGTGATATCTGAGTCTTATTCCTTAGTGTGATCATGGCATGTACAGAATAAATAACACCTTCAATGCCTAATCTATGGAAATCTCAGCTGGGCAAGTTCCATTGATGCCAGCCACCACCATTCTGGCTGGCACCATCACAGGAGAATTTGCAATGACAATGAACCAACCAACACAGGAATGATAATGAAAATGTAGCAGATGGCAGGATAATAAGCAGATACTGACTTCCTTTGAAGTGAACCAGAAGATTTGTTGTTACAAGGAGGAGGGAGAAGAATTGTTCTTCTTAACCTCTGAGGATAGGACAAGAAGCAATGGGCTTAAATTGCAGCAAGGGAGGTTTAGGTTGGACATTAGGAAAAACTTCCCAACTGTCAGGGTGGTTAAGTACTGGAATAAATTGCTTAGGGAGGTTGTGGAATCTCCATCATTGGAGGTTTTTAAGAGCAGGTTAGACAAACACCTGTCAGGGACGGTCTAGATAATACTTAATCCTGCCATGAGTGCAGGGGACTGGACTAGATGACCTCTCGAGGTCCCCTCCAGTTCTATGATTCTATGATTTATTGACCCAAAAGGAGACTGTTGACAGAAACAAATCCAAGGTCAGTATTTATCTTAAAGAACAATAAAACTGGATCATTATAACATGTTTTTAGTATGTATTATCACATACATTATGACTTTCTCCCTCCATTCTGCCCACCAAGCTGTTAAGTGTTTTCTTTTAAACCTATATTCCTGTGGGGAGATGAAATAAGAGATCCAGAAAAAAATATATATACACTTCACCCCTGATATCCCCTTCTAACCCGGGTGGGGGGGCATTTTATAGAAATGTAGGGCTGGAAGGGATCTTGAAAGATCATCAAGTCCAGTCCCCTGTGCTGAGGTTGGACCAAGTAAACCTAGACCATTCCTGATGGGCATTTGTCCAATCTCTTCTTAAAAACCTCCAGTGATGGGGATTCCACAACCTCTCTTGGAAGCCTATTCCAGAGCTTACCTACCCTAATAGTAACACATTTTCCCCTAATATCTAACCTAAATCTCCCTTGCTGCAGATGAAGCCCATTACTTCTTGACTTACTTTCAGTGGGCATGGAGAACAATTGATCACCAGCCTCTTTATAACAGCCCTTGAGATACTTAAAGACTGTTCTCAGGTTCCCCTCAGCCTTCTTTTCTCCTGGGCTCATTAGGGAGGTCTCCAAACCCTAAAGATCCCAGGATACCCAGAGGAAGGAATGTCTTTGGAGTGCCTGTCTGTCCAGGGTGCTGCCCATCCACCCTTTCCTCTTGACAAAGACTCCTTTGGGAGTTATGATGCCATTGGCTCCCATCCCTGGGTGTGACTGGGAGTGAGAAGCAGCATTAAGCCCCTGATGGATATTTGACAGAATACCTGCTGGGTCCCCAGGAGAACATATGTTGGAGAGATGCTGCTCCCCAGCCCACTCTCTCCCCCACAGCAACAGAAGCCTAATCCTACGGAGTGGCTGTAGAAGGGCTTCTGGGACATCTCAGGGAACAGCATGTTATACAGCACAGATAATTCTCTCTTCTGTAACCCCCTCCACCTCTGCCCCATTTGGTGAAAGGTAGCATGGAGCCATTCATCAGGAAAATGCTAGAGAAGTTTGGAGAATATTGCATTCCAATTAGAACGCACACTGAAATCTATGTTTGCTTCTGACTTGGCTAAACTGAAATGTTAGCTTCCAGGAGGAGACTTTTCTGACTACAAAGAGGTAACTGGCTAACATGCAGTAGAGAATGGCCTCTGAATGTTTAATGATAACATGGCATAAAGGATTCCCATCATATACGCTTGGGCAGCTTTCCTGTTATTTTCCAAATGGAGAGAGCTGAGAATTAGTCAGCTAATTATCCTTGAAATGAATCACCTTGTCAAACCAGATAGGTCTTTCTATTTCATTTGCAACCTGCCTCATCGTCAGCCAAACAAGAGCAAAATGGATGATACAAACTCATATGTTCAACAGAAAATGGCAGTGAACTGAATCACTGTAGATGCATTGCACGGTGGTATTGATTTTATATATAAAAAAAAGAACACTCACAACACTTTGCCTTACTGATGCAATTGCACTGCTCTGCTTGAACTTTCTGATGCCTCTTTCCACTCAGAGGAAATTCAGAGACTGGCATTCTCGCCCTGAGCAAGAGTAATGTAGGGTATGTCTACACTGCAATAAAACACAGCTGGCCTGTGTCAGCTGACTTGGACTGCAGGGCTATAAATTGGAGTATTGACATTCAGGCTTGGGCTGGAGCCCGCGAGTACTGAATTTGATGTATATTGACTGAGTGGCTCTGCTTCAGTGATTGTTTCTTCCCTGGAGCTGGTATTTTGTGAAATCTTTTAAACTCACTCCCGCCCTCTCCCCCCATTTTCTCTAAGGCATAGGCCATGCACTCTGTGTAGAGTCAAAATTCATCTCTTCTTGAGGTCTGACTTTATTAACAAATAAAATTAACAATAAGGGCTGGTCTACACTGGGAACCTACATCGGCACCACACCCCAGAGAGACGTAACTATGCTGACCTAACCCCCAGTGTAGACAGAGCTAGGTCAATGGAAGAATTCTTTCATCAGCCTAGCTACCACCTCTTGGGAAGGTGGATTACCTACACTGATGGGAGAAGCTCTCCCGTTGGTATAGGTATTGTCTACACTGGAGCACTCTTGCTGTGCCACTTTCGTATTTAAAGTGTAGACATACCCTCAGGGAGGTGGATTAACTCCAGTGACAGGAAAATCCCTCCCGTCGCTGTAGTGAGTGTCTACACTGAAGCTGTGCTGCTATAGCATTGTAAGTTTAGACATAGCCTCAGACAACATGAAATCCAGATTCCAGTTTTCTCCCCTAGCTTGGCTGCTCCTAGAGTTCCATGCTCCGAGCTGTTCAGCCATTTCTTGGGTCCTCACTGCCTCAGACTCAAAATCCTTCTTTCAGGAATCCTATTCTGGGGTCCCCTTGCTCCCTTCTCATATCCTCCAGCCTTGATAGCACTGGAAGGTTTTACTGCCAGCTTCAGCCCCTGTCTTCAGGAGAGTCTGTCCATTAACCCCTTCCTGCTCTTGTCCAGTTTGACGTCCACTCCTCTTGAGTGTGTGTCCATGTTTTCAGTATATTCCAAAAATTGCTGCAAGTGGGAAACAGTACTTTTAGGAATGAGATGTCTGTAATAGCAGCGGAGCCAATTCACTCAGAATTGGCAAAGAACTGGCTCTCCTTATTCCAGTCCACCAGACAGTGTGATGGATGGTTGGAAAGACATAATGGTGTACAGGCCACCCCAGAGCAAGTATTACAGCATAGTCCAGCAGTCAGTTCACACCCTTGTTTGTGGCATTGTCAGATGTCAGGGGAGTCGGGTGTCCTTTTGTAGTATATTGCTCTTGTAACCCAAACCCTAACAAAGAGACTAACTTCTTGTTGCTGCTCCCAGCCTGTACTAGGGTGCAATAAAAAAAACAGACACCTTTTCACACAGTACTTGATGGATCATGATATTGTGGTATAGTGAGGCATGTGCTTTGGGGGTTGCTTTTGTTTACTCAGACCTCTTTCTCCAGAGGGGCCACTGCATTTCTGGAATGAAAAGGTCTCATTTGCTCTACCTCCATTTTCTCCCTTCCTCTAGACTCCAAGGTACTTTCTTCCAGCAGACTGCAGTAGGACAGTCACTTGAGCTGACCAAATAATTATTTGCTGCTCCGCTATTTGGAACAAATTTGTCATGTCCTCACTCCTCAGTTCTGAATCAACCAACTACAAGACAAACCCAAATCTAGAAGCTCAGTATACAGGCCTTCGACCGGAGGGCACGCTTAACCCTTTCCATAAATGCTGTTTGACACACACAGTATATGGACGAGAAGAAGCCAGAAAATCCCATCAAATCCCAAAACCTCAAGATAAAAGAAAAAAGATCCCTTGAAAAATAACGCAAGTAGAGGAACCCTAAGGGAAAGTGCTGTGCTTTTTTTCTCTACAGTGACAAGGCAAAAGAAGGCAGTGGAGAACACATCCCCCAGTACCACAGGGGAATGTGAAATCTCGATGTTCTTAGGTATATTGTAGTCCTAAAATAAACCTGAGCTCTCTGAAATCCACATCTCGCTAATACAAACCTCGATCTCTGGTTTCATGATGACTGCAGTAATGGAAGAAAATTTTTGTCTAACTATATTTCTCCCTTATAATCCTGTGGCCTGTAAAACTTACGCAGGATGAGTCAAATGGCTCCTGCCAGGGATATTATTCAACACAATAACTCCAGGGGGTACAATCAGAATGACATCTCGTAGGAAACGCTTTTTGCTCTGCAAAACAGAATCCATATTCACCAAGGATTTTAAATCTTTCAGAGATTTGTGAGTCTGGGTCCATGCTCTGAACGGCAGCTGGCAAACCAAAGAGCCTTACGTTGAGATTTCACAAGGGGGTTCCCATAGGTTCCCCCCTGCACCCTTAACTTATGCTCCAAGTCCGTGGAAGCTTGGCTTAATACTCTCAGAGGGCCTGACACAGCAATGAATCATGGAACAAAAGATGGCTCCTGCACGAGTGGTGCAGGTTCAAAACCTAGGAGGGCCATATCAAGGCATCCACC